CCCAATTTTGAAACCCACCTCAGAACTGACCCAGTTGAGTGGAATGTTGTGAACTTGAACCCATAAGTTAAGCTCTTGAAAACTCGGATGTTTGCTACAGATCCCTCTTGTCCATTCACGGAGAATTAGGTATTGATTTTCAAAACTCCAGTTAGTACCTGTTGCCACCTTTTTCTTGTCATCTAGATTTTCGAAAATGAATTGAAAGTAATTTGGACTGAGCTCCTTGACTTCCATAGGCTGGCTGAGCTTCCAAATTTGTGACATTGCGCGTCTGATCCCAATCCAACTTGCCGGCCGATCCCCGATAACCTTACCGAAAAGGCTCCTTTGACATTCATCGTCGCTAAGTCGAATGTCGTCTTGGGCGATATCAACCACTTTAGCTTCCCAGTCTGATAAGGAGAAGGCTTGTAAACGATCTGATAGATCTTCACCATTGCGAGTGTTAGAATCTTCTGCCATTAACAGAAACCCTAATGGCTGAAACAGAACAAGAAAAAAGAAAGGAGAAAATCGAAGAAGACGAAGACGAACAATTAAGCTGAGATCGGGGGAGAAAAAGAGATAATCAAGCAAACATTAAACAACAATCAGAAGATCTAAGAAACCAAGAATCGATCGCTCTCATGGGAGAGAATGGGTCGCTCTCATGGGAGAGAATGAGATAAATTTAGTTAGAAATTAATAATTTAATAGTATATAGGATATATATATGTTGAATACAAAATATTTTAGTTACAAATTAATACTTTAAAATATATAAATATATATATATATAGGGTTGGGTTCCGGTGAGAAAGGGTCACAATGAAAGAAATGAGAATAAATTGGGTACATAAGATCAATTAGATCTAATGGACACGGGCTGTCCACGCTAATTCACGCAGGTACCAATTAAATTGCATTTGATGGTATATTGGTAAATTAGTGAATACATTAACACAACTCAATCCCTCAGCATACAGAACCCGCAACTTACACAAATTAATGGCGACATTGATGGCAATCCCATGGCTCGATCTCGAAGATTTCCGATAGAGCTTCTCTTTCAAACTCTGAAATAAATTAGCCAGTTCGAGCTTATCGATCAACATCCTTGAATTCGTATCTGGATTCTAAACAATCTCGCGACCGATTTCTCCTGTGCGAGACTTAATTTTGGCCGATCTCAAAATTCCAATCACAAATCCATTCACGGCGACGATAATTCCTAAATTAGGTATATCATCTTAGTGCTTTGTTTATTCAAGTATAATTTAGTTCAATTATTCATTGTAATTTAGTACAATTACTGACATGTTTATGTAGCAACACCATATATCACAGATTTGGAATTCTACATATGGAGATATAAATCAGATGTCTACATGTCTTGTTTATGTTTCTTTAGGTTGTTGAAATCTTCAGTCGGCTGAGCTGCATACAAAATGGATTCTGGTGAATCACAGACATGGGCCTTGTTTGGCGATCAGCGGATAGCGGATTGTATTAGCGGATAGCGGATTATATTAGCTGATTTAACTAGCGGATTGCATTAGCGGTTTTTAAATAAGTGTTTGGTAAATAGCTGAAAGTTTGTAGCTGTTTGACATTGCAAATTACCAATAAAGACATTTTATTATTTAGGGTGTATTCTTTTATTAAAAATATATTAAAACATTTAATATTTTTTAGTTGGTAATTTATAAATATATTTTTTTAAAAAACAAATTTACTAACAATTGATTAAGAAGTTATGAATTTTACATTTTTCTAGATAAATTAATCATATGGATGACATATTATTATTTGTTAGCATCATAAACAAATGTTGATTGTAAAATAAATAATACAAATTAAAAAGTTCTAAATTAAAATTGAAGATTGTGAATCTTCTATCCCAAAAAGCTCCTCTAATGAGCTTTTTCTAAATTAGAGTTTTGGGCTTAAAAAGCTTATCAAATAAGCTATTTACCAAACAAGCTCAATAGCGGATTTGACGGGTCAAACCTCTCAATTAAGTCAAATCCGCTAATTTATCCACAATCCGCTGTCTTCCAAACGGGGCCATGTACTTTTTGTGTTGGATAGCCAAGTATGGAGACAATAGCTTGATGTTTATAGAATGCTTTGCTCATACACGAAATAGCATGACGTGCAGTACTTCATGTGTGTCATATGAGTTAATGTGCAACCTGTTGAATTAATGTGCAGTCTGTTGAATTAACGTGCATCCTGTTGAATATTAATGTGCAACCTGTTGAATATTAATGTGCAATTGTCTTATCACATATGTGCAGCCAATTGACCATTCTTGTTTTTTCATCACAAGTACTCAAGGATCACCAACAACCCCTACGCACCATCAATTTGCGGTCACGCCCGGCGGAACTAAATATTGGATACCAGAATGCGATGAATCAGCCAAAACTTACAACGAGCAGGGGTTTCGGGAATTACACGAAGCTGTCGATTTCTACAAAAGATACGCTCTCATTGTTGGTTTCGATGTGAGGCACAACACCTTAATAAAATCACGTGACAAGACAATTATCTGGAAATACATGTGTGCTCGAGAGAAGGATATAAGCACCATACAACAATCAGTACAACAGTAGGTAGTGGTGGGCCGGTAATGAGGCGTAGGGTGTCAAACTGGGTGGGTTGTAATGCCCGCATCATGCTGCGTATTGATGGGCTGAATGGCTACGTCGTAAAATACTTCGAGGATAAACATAATTACCCAATGACATCGGACAACTGCTGATTGCAAATGAAATCCAACAGGACAATGAATGCTCGACATCAAAATTTTGTACTAAATTGCGTCAGAGCCAATATAGGACCAGTTCAGTCATACCGTTTGTACAATGAGATGGTTGGCGGGTATTCGAATATTGTCGCCACGAGTGTGGACTTCAAGAACTATAAACGAGAGCTACTCGCGTACATCACAAGAGCAAACGCTCAGTTAGTTATTGACAAATTCTACAAGCGTCAAGAAACCAGTCCTGCAATTTATTTTCAGTATGAGATAGGAGAGCAGGAACGACTGAAAAGACTTTTTTGGGCTGATCCCATTTCGAGAAGGATCTACAGTTGTTTTGGTGATGTCGTATCATTCGATGCGATATATAGTATAAACAGGTACACACGAAACCTCATATTAATTTGCCTTGATAATGATTATTATGTCATATATATTCGTTCAAAATTATTTCTGGACTAATCCAAGCTGACAAACCACAGGTACAACATGATATTTGCACCTTTTACCGGCATAGACAACCACGACAAGTGTGTGACATTTGCGACTGCCTTGATATCGAACGAGGACGTTGACTCTTATGTTTGGGTATTGAAGAAATTCAAAGCTGCCATGATCCACGAGCCCGTGTACATTGTCATGGACCAAGACCCGTCCATTGGCATCACATTTCCTAAGGTATTCGAAACGTGCAAGCACCGATTTTGCATGTGGCACATAATGACTAAGTTAGGTGACAAAGTTGGTCATTCATTAAACAGTGATGTTGAATTTAAACGGCGGCTTAATGAAATTGTATGGGACAGAAATATAGAAGCTGTTGAGTTCGAAGCAAAATGGGAATCCATCATGTCTGATCATATATTGACCACGCACAAATGGTTCATTGACTTGTTTGCAAAAAGAGAATATTGGATTCCGGCTTTTTTCAGAAATGTCAACATGAGCGGCTTAATGAGGACTACTTCTAGGTCCGAAAGCGAGAACAATTGGTTCGGAAACTTCACAAACAATCATTCCAGCGTAGTCGAATTCTTAATGCATTTCGACAGTGCGATGGATGCACAACGAAACACGTCAATAAAGCTACACAACGATAGTGAATCCCTACAATCAGAATTGAAGATGCCTCTTCTCATTGAGAAAGTTGCAAGGTCTGTTTACACAACATCATTGTTCTACGTGTACAAGAAGAGATTTGCGCAGCGTGTTTCAGTTGTCGAGTAATGAGCTTTTCTGAAAAGGATGGTCACACGGAATTTGTAATCACAGACGCAGATGGTAACACTTTCAGTGTTGTTCACGAGATCATTTTGAATACAGCGATGTGTTCGTGCAAACACTTTGAATTGTACGGGTGGTTGTGTCGCCACGTGTTTGTTGTACTCAAAGAATTGAACATGAAATCTATACCTTATGCACATATCCTGTCACGGTGGATGAAAACAACCACTATTAATCCCATGTTCCAGGTTCTCGATGTCGCGTCTGCCCAATGCGTCCAAGTTGACGATAAAAAGTTCCTGCTTAGCAAGTTGTGGTCGGATATACATGCATGCATGGGATTGGCTGAGCCTTGTGTTAACTGACTTACTGAATTTTCAAAGGTCATCGAAGCACACAAGATTAAACTACTGTCTGATCAAGGCGAGTATGCAGCAGTCAGTAATAAAGAGCAGCAGGTTGAGTCTTTTGTTGGCATGGTTGCGCCTCAAGAGGTGACCATTCACCCTCCGACACACTCAAAAAACAAAGGCAACGGGAAAAGACTAAAGAGTGGAAAAGAAAAGGCGATCGAACAGTCACAAAAGAAGTGCAAATCATGTGGCGAAAGAGCCGGTCATAACGCACGCACGTGCCCCAAGAAACCGTAGGCATATAAGGTATATATTTACATCTCGTCATGACGATTATTTGACCATTACGCACCTGTAGGATTTTTAGTTTTGGAATTCCTTATGTTCATTAATATACATCTGCACACATACCTATTGTATTGTTTATTCAGTCTTATTCCAAAAGTAAACAATAACACACCATGTTATCATTCATATAATGACATGAATATTGACATATAATATATTTTGTTTGCAGATACAGTGTGGAATCAAATTTGATGGGAATTATCACAGGGCACATGATACAACCGGATATTGTGTAGAACGATTGACAAACGGTGCATTTTGTTACGTTTTCAAACGTTACCACTATTTCGATGTCAAACATTGTAATAATTTTCAGTTTAATATTGTTTCTAACCAACAAATGTTTGAACGTATGAGATTGCATATGGACTATAGGGATGAATGTTGATCACAAACATTGGATGAATAATGCACCTCAGTATATATCATGTTGCACATTTATTCGATTTTAATTGCACCTTATGTAATAATATTTAAAATAATAGTGTGTGTGTGTGCAGAAACACGATTGTGTATAAACAATATCTCAATGATACAATACATATAAAGAAAAAATAATAATAATAATAATAATAATAATAATAATAATAATAATAATAATAATAATAATAATAATAATAATAATAATAATAATAATAATAATGGCACAACATCGTATATCATTCACTTACAATTGCACTGTATCATTGCACTTTATACAAGTGATTGCACTTCATTTCTAAATTCGTTGCACCTTATATCGTACTCTCAAATTGACACCACAAACATAAGATAATCGTAATATACTAATATGCCAACACGTGACATTATTTCACCACGAACATAAGATAACAACCGTAATATACTAATATGCCAACGCGTGACCTGTACTGGAGTAGATGTACATTAAAATACAGTATCAGAAACTAAGAAATATGTACTTAAACGCATAAGAAAGACAAAAAAAAACATAGCGTCTACTCGGTTCAGGCAATGCACCAATACAGCCACGATAACGACACTTTTTTTTTTCATTTTGAGAGCATATCTAGTGCACTTGTGTGTGCACATTACACATTAATATATTGCACTTTACATCCGATTTCGTTGCACTTTATAGATCACGTCGCTGCACTTTACCATGCGGAAACCGTACAACGCATGATATACGACAACCGTATATATTATTTCAACACCCACCAAAAAAAGACAGATAACCAAAGCAAACAATTAAAAACATCATAACATAATCGTCATAAACATACCAACATGTGATAAAAAACAATCATAAACGTACCAACCTACATACTTACAAAAGATGTTCAAAAATCAGTCATAATCATGCATCAGAGTAATATCTAATCTGCCCATACAATGCAATACCCAATCCGACATGTCACGAAACAGCCCGTGACTTCACCCCCTCGCATAGATCCTGAAACTTCGTTGCTGCCACGTGATTGTCATCTTTCGTATCATTATTTGCAGCACCCGCTATCACATAGAAATACGACTTTCTCATCAGCTTCAGTTGCCCCTTGTCAGCCTTCTTCATATCTTGGTTCCAATTTTTCGTAATGCGTCCTTTGAACGTCTCCATGAGACGCATTGTTATAACACCGGCATCTACATCATCAACGCCCTCAGTCCAATCCAAATTGACAACCTCCAGAACTGAAAGTGCAACGGCTTTTAAAAACTTCACCATATTCATATGTTCCAGATACTTTGCAACTGATTGCCACTACATAAAATTAAAAACAAATAACAATACAAAAAACGAAAGACAACATTACAAGAAAAATAAATAAATAAATATAATATATATATATATATATATACACACATACACACACACACACACACACACCAACATGAATACAAGCAAGAGGTCGTACCAAAATCCCAGCACGTGCCAAGACAGTTTTCTTGACACCGTCATCCTTACACGCGCCCACACTATCTAGCACGTAGAAGTTTTGAGATTCCGGAACAATACACATCAACCCGCTGAAACTACCAGAATGCACGGGAAATACGAACTACAATAAAAGAGCCGTGTAAAACCAGTTATAACAAAAAAACTTTCTTTACAATCAAGTACCAAAACACAAGACTTCAAATCGCACCCAATCAGGTAATCTTACCACTGCAATTTGCTTGATGTTATAACGGCGTATCCAATCAAAATCTGCTTTGAACGTATCCTGAAACTTTTTGTAGCTTATCCTTCTTTCTTTTAACCTTGAAAAAAAACTGAGAGTTGCAAGTTGATTATCACAAGTACAATGCCAACAAATATAAATTATATAAGATCATCGTAATTCACATAAATACATTTGGACACACCTCGTTGCACTGGTATATAATAACATCGCTATTCGTCGATATCGGTACACCATGAAATATAATTAGATAAGTACACTGAAAAATTAATCATAAATAAAATATATGAAAACAATATATACACATGAATCTTACTCATGACCATCTGTTTGATTCTTCAGAACCCAATTAACAACCATTTTCTCTTTCCCGTCGAGTTTTTTAACGACATTGATCACGCGCTGCTTGTAAGGCGATTTAATTGCACTACCTGCCTTAGTATGCCTTTTCGGCCTACCGGTATCCACAACAATGTTATCGACAATAGCTTCAATGCCGTCACCTGATCAACATATATACAAATTCTAAATTAAACTCGTAATAGCGATAAAAAAAACAAAAGAAAAAAAAAAGAAAGGTAGAGAAACAAAAGCATATACCTTCAGATGCACGATCACCAGTCACCGTACCATGTCCATCGTCACAACCCAATTTCTCTGTCAAACCGGTTTCATCTACAACGGTGATATAGACAGTCAATAGCAAATCATTTCAATATAACATACAAATCACTCGTAAGACATAAACATATACTAAGTACCTCTCACGCGCTCAATACCGGTATCGCCTACAACTGTATTCACCATCGTACCACAATCAGCTACAAACGAGTATAAACCGTAAAAAAAGTACACATCAACGTTCGTATGCAATAATTCTAATGCAAAATGACAATAACATCTACATGATGGCACACCTATATTGGAAGGCCCACCAACAGTGAGTTCATCGACATATTATGGCGTCCCTAAACATTATCCTCATATGATGAAAGCCCGAGTCCAAGGCTGTAACTAGGGCCTTCATTATGCACCTTTCTTTCATTATGCACCTTCCTAAAATGGTCACGCTGAGCAACCGCCTCAATGATAGCATCTATGGCAGCTAAGTTCTCGGGATTATTCCAGAATGCATCATCGTCTAATAGATCCTTCGGCGCCTTCTCGACCAACTAAAAAATCTCCACACCAGTCGTGGCAAGAATACGGGTTTTCGACGCAAATTCTTGCACAAACGCATGTTAAATTATTAAAAAAAAGAAAAAAGAATATTAAAACGTTTAAACTACAAAAATATAAAGCATTCCAATACACAATGATCAGTATAGCGACATATAAACACAAGTGGAACAGATTGCACATTATTACTACACTGACTGCACATTTGTGTATTCATGGTTGCATGAAACGTTCGTCACATATAACCATTAGACACATAATTGAATTAACACGAGAACTGCTAAAAAAAAAGATAAAAACACGCCAATATGGGATTCAAACCGATAACAACATGTGACATAACAGGCATATACACACCACACGTAAACAGAGATCATTTCTATATCGTATTCACACAGAAATTACAATGTTAAATCACAACCCATGCTTTTGGCACAATGTCTACGCATTATAAGACGATCCGTAAATATGAACATAAATCTGTACGCTGATTGTTGACGTCCTATTCATGTCGTTGCCGTCACGAATGTTAACTTCTCTTTCTACCCAGTGAGAAGCATATTCCACGCATAAGTCTGCATCCACATATCCTCGCCCGAAGGCTCTAGCTACAATCTCATTTCATTCTCTAGCCTTCAATAATTCGTTGTTCCATGCTTTAAAATCGGGAATATTCTTGCAACATTCTTGATTGACAACACCACTTTATCGACATAGAACAACTACATATCACACAGGAAAAAAAGGTTATAAGGAAACACTCTATAATACAATGTGCGGAAAACAAAGCACGAAACACTAAAAAGTTATCGCATAAAGAAAACGTGTAGATGGTTCTGATGCACTTACCGTCAGAAATAGAAGAGGCCCCGTGAAGTTCTTACGTCCCCGATTATCATTCCAAAATTTTTTCGTGCTCACCAGACAACGGATCATGTAGGAGCACCAGTTCATATTCATTACATTCGATAGATCACTGAGCAAATGTATTATACGCAAATTTGCCATCCCATTGCTAGTGCTCTCGAATAAGCAAGTCACCATAAGGACAACAAAATTGCGTTTGAACCAGTCATCACTTCCATGGCAATTCTGAAAACATGTCTAACACTCTTGTGGTTGTAATGTTTGTCGGCTTACTAACATTATATAACCTCACCCATTCCTTCAACAATCCCAACTTTGTTTTTATTCTTTTTATTTGTGACCTCAATCGTGTCGTGGGGCAGTCCTAGTGCACTGTATACATCTTCTTCTTTCACATGAATCTTCTCCCCATCGTATAGTTTCAACTTCCGATCCATGTGGTTGAAGCTATCAACCAGCCAGTACCCCATTTTTGCTGGTGTCGTTGTTATTGTCAACTCCAACAAACGTCCGAATCCCATATCACGGATGTCTCCTTCTGATCGTCTGTCAAACCAGACACAACCTTCACGAAATGGCTGATGATGATCTTGTGTTGATGCTCGGAAGGACATCGCCATCATCGCTACCGATAATCGGTACTGCACCAGTAGCTTTCATTGTAGCTGTTTTGATATAAACATGATATTAATATAATATTACGTAATAATAACGCACTCATAACACAATTGAGGTAAGTGAGTATACCATCTTGAGTCGTTGTATTCTTATAGCATTTCAGCTGAGGGGCAGCATAAACAAAATCATCGTTTTCAGGCAAACGAACTAGGTTTGCATGTTTACCGCATTCGTCGGCTCGTTTTAGTGTATCGACTTTCCGTTTGATTGCTGCAAAGATAACACATAATGAAACAAAAAGGACATATGCAAAATGAACAATATAAACAATGAATGTTATCCGTGTTTATATGAGAAAAATAACAAGAACCATAGGATAATAAACATGAATATGTATACCACCTTGTGTCGCCATAATTTTATCACGCTCCAAATCAGATGTGCCATAAACTAAATCATCATTGCCCGTTGTCACAACTGTTTTTCCACGGTTCACAAGGTCTTCAGCGCGTATTGGCACGTCTCCTATTTGTTTGTTAGCTACAACATAGCAACAAGAAATATATTAACCGAACACTGCATAAGCCACTTATATAAATATGACTAATCTACAGATGTATAACTTCATGCGCATGTTTGATGCTTTGTGATGAATGGCTCGGATGGGAATCGTTCACCCCCGTACGACGACGTGTAACTGAACAAAATACGGGAAATTCAAGAACACGTTAATAAAGCACATAATGAAAGTCGAAAAAGTATACAGTGACATCCTATTACCAACTGCACGCACCTTTCCAACCACCAGGAGATTGATCCATCGAGCCTTCATCAGCAGCACATTTATCTGTAAAAACACAATTAGGACTATAAACACGCATACAAACCAACTGGATTTTGAGTAAGCAAGAGCAATACACTCATCAAAACATCAAATCAATTAAGTTCTAACATGTTATCTCTCATTACCCAAATGTGCAATTTACTGAAACAGATACAATTGTGCAACAACCTTACAATATCTCAATTTCTTCTTTATCAAGAAATTTATATTAAACAATTCATTTCATTAAAAAAAAAAAAACTCGCATAAAACAAGTCAACTTACACAAATTCAAGCCATAATATAATAACTCACAGTTCTCAAAAAAACGAAAAAAAAAAAAGAAATAACCTAACATAAAAGAGAGTGTAATTACATATTTTCACCGAAATTGAATGTTTTTTGATTTACCATCAGCAATAACACGAACAACATTGCTTCTAAAAAAACTGAAAAGAGGTAAATATCGTATAATCTTCGGTTTTCTTCGATTGAGGAGAATTCACCATTTTTTTTTTCTTTTGAATATGTATGGACGGCTACGAGATCAACTGATACGGACTTAGGAGCTCAACAAAGATCTGGTAAAGAAGATAAAAACAAAAGAAAAGCAAAAATCGGGGAAGAAATCAGCAAAAAACAAAAATCTCTCACTCACTGAAGATCGGCATTGAAGAGAGAAATTAATCCAAAGGCAGAAATCGCACTGAGGCCATTAATGTGTCTGAACGAATTAACCCTAGGCAGAAACAGTAAAAGTCGCATGTTTCCTTTGGTATAAGGAATTGGGCGAAAAGTTTGACAGAATTACCAGACTGCCACCGCGTGGTCAAAAGCTGGTCAGCTTTGGTCAGCTTTATCTCATCCGTTAATTTGGACAATCTGATGGTGTGTAATCATTCTCATTTCTTTCATTATGTCCCAATCTCATATGATCATATCTCTATATATATAAGTAAGGGTAAAAAGGTAAATTCTATGACTTTGGGGTGAAAAAATGAAGAAAAAGCCGCACAGCACGCGCGTGCACGCCACTTCCGTCATCTTAGACGGTTTAGGGTGTTTCGCGCATGCAAAAGTATAATAGAAGGGAGTTTGACGCAATTTTTAAATTACAGTGGGATAATGCGCAGATTTAGTATATTACAGGAGGGTTTGGTGCAATTTACCGTGGTTTGTATTTCGAGTCGCTGAAGGAGATCGAAATCGTCTTGTGTTGACAAAGATGCTCTGTGCACGTGCAGGGTGCGCAATTGGATACAACATTTCTTATTTATTTCTTGAATTATTTATTTTATTAATTATAGAATAAAATAAAATAAAATTTCTCTTATCTCTCTTATACATATAAGAAAAAAGTATGAGTGCTTTAGGGCTTGACACGTGTCGATTTTTAGATGACCAAAAGGCCCCTGCCCTGCTCTCTTTTTTGCTGTCTTGCCCCTCTTTTTTCGGAGACAACTTTCCTGATTTTCTTGATAATGAGTGTACGTTTAGGAGGTGATTGTTTATCAATTAATTAAAAAAAAAAAATCAATCAAAACTCAAATTTAACTCAACCCCACTATCTTTAATATTATCAATATAATTAAATAATATCAGCCAATCGTTCAACTAATCATTCTTACATATCACATCAACTTTAATTTACTATTCATCTATTCACATAATTTTAACTAACCATCACTTCCAATCATTTTTCTCTTATTTTTACATCATATCAACTTTAATATTTTATTTTAAATATTATTTTAATATATCCACTAACAACTAACTATACCAATTTTTTTTTTTCAAAATTAACTATATTTAAAAAACCAATTAATTTATAGATGAATTCATAAACAATCACCCCCTAAGGTCTCCAATTATTATGAAATTGTTGTTGTTCAGTGGTTGGATTAAGGGCCCCTAATATTATGAAATTGTTGTTTCGTCTGCCAAATAAAGTTGTTTGGCCCTTTAGAAGTTACATCATGCAAAATTATATTCAAACAAACATATGAATGAATATTCGTAATTTATCTAAGAAAAAAGCATAAATTTAGAACACAATTATAAT